CAGCGGCGGCCGAGCCGTTCGGCGGCGCGCCCGCGCACGGCCCCTCGCGGGCAGCGGCGCGACGGCGCGCGAGCGCGGCGGTGCGATGCAACAGCGCGTCGAGGAGCTCCCGGGCCTCCGGGCGCGCGGCGTTGCGCTCGCGGGCGGCGCCGAGCAGCGCGCGCGCCTCCTCGATCTTCGCGGAGAGGCTGTCCGACGCGGCCACGCCGCTCGCCGCCGCGCCGGGGGCGGCCCGCAGAGGCGCCGCACCGAGCAGGGCCCCGCCGGCGCCCGCGGGCTCACCCAGCTGCCGCAGCAGCTGCAGCGCCCGCGGGTGCGACTGCTCGGCGGCCCTCGCGCACCACCTGAAACGAGGCCGGGACAGGGACGAGGACGGACAGGGACGACCTCGGGGGTCTCGGAGGTCCGGCGGTTCCGGAAGACGCATCGGGCGCCGCAGCGCTCTGAGAGCCCTCCGGAATGCGCTGGAACGGTTTACCCCTGTCCTAGCCCAGCCCGGCCACCGCCGCGCCTCCCCCGCGTCGCGGCGGAGGCCGCCCAGGCCGTGGAGGTGCATCAGCGCGAGGTTGTGCTGCCCGTCCGCACTCCCCTGATCCGCCGCGGAGGCGTACCAGCGCAGGGCCTCGCCGTAGTCCTCCGGCGGCGCGCCAGAGTCGAGAAGTCGAGGGTAGAGGATTCGATATCGAGGATGAAGGTTCTTGGCCGTTTATTGGAGTCTCTAGTGGGCCTTCAGAGACCCCCAAGAGACCCCAGGTTGTCGAAGGCCGCTTCTCAAGGTGGAGGTGGTTCGAGGGAGGCGGACTCCTAAGAAAGCATGGGGGTCCTGTCAGAAGCCCCCGCCCGCCTTCCGAGAAGCCCTCGCAGAAGCCTCCGAGCCCCCCGAGACGCACCCAGCCTTCTTGGGAGGCCACCCATTCGCCACACCCCCTCTCTTTCGCACCGCCGAGTCCTCTTGCCCGGGGGGACAGAAGGATACCGATGCCGCTACTCTCCAGACCTCTCAAGGGGCGCCCGGTGACCAGGAGGCCGCGGCGATTCCACCTGTGGCGACCAGGGAAGGCCCGGAAAGGCGAAAGCGAGGGAAGGGCATCAGCGGCTGCATGTGTGCGCGCTTCTCAGCTCCTCCGATCACCGCAGTCCTGGGGCAGCCCGCCAGACCCCTCCGCGCACATCGCGCCCAGGTTGCACTGCGCCCGCGGCTCACCCTGCAGCGCGCCCCGGCGGAACCACCTCGCGGCCAGCGAGGCGTCCTGCTGGGCGCCGTCACCAGCCAGGTAGGCCAGGCCCAGCCCGTACTGCGCCTCCGGGTGTCCCACCTCCGCCGCGCGCACCAGCCACACCCACGCCTCTGGGGAAACCAAGAGGTGCCGCTGCTGCTACTCCCTGGACCTCTCCCAGAATGCTCCGGACCAGCATCTCGAGGCGAACGCAGCCGCGGCGACGAAGGCCTCCCGGGAGGCCCAAAAAGGGAAGAACGAGACCAGGTCGAGGCAGGCATGGGTACTTTTCCCTCCCCAGCTGAGCCTCCTGCGCGTCTGGGGCCCGCCCCAGGCCGCGGCGGCAGCACACGCTAAGCCAGTACATGGCGCCCGCGTCCTCGAGGGGGGCCAACCGGCACCGATACCGCACCTCTCCAGGAGGGGCGCGTTCGGGCCAGCCTCTGAAGGCGAAGGCAGCCGTGGCGACGAGGGATCTCCAGGACGAGCAGCGGCGTCGGCACCTCCTCCTCCCCCGGTGTCCTCCTGCGCGGCGGCCAGCGACAGCCAACGCACGGCCTCGGCCTCGTCCCGCGCCAGGCCGCAGGAGCCCGCCGCGCACGCCAAGGCCAACGCGCGCTGGGCGGCCCCGTCGCCGGCCTCCGCGGCCCGGCGCCACCAGCGGGCGGCCTCGGGCCCGCCAGCGGCGAGCCCCGCGCGCCCCGCCAGGTGCAGCTCGGCCAGGCACGCCACGGCGCGGCGGTTCTCAGAGGTGGGGCCCTTGTTGGAGGGCGGCCTGGCTCGGCGACTCCGGAGGGTGTGGTCTGCAGAGGCTGTGGCCTGCAACCTGCACCTGGGCGGGGCGGGCGAGGAGCTCGGCAGAGAGCTCTGCCACGCCGCGACGGGGGCCCATCAAGCCTTTGGCGCAACGCGGCGGCCCCTGAGCCCCGACGGCGCAGATCGCAAACCACACCCCGTCGTAACCAGACCCACTGCAGTCGCTGACTGCTGGGAAGGGCGAGAAGGCCTCGAACCGCGCAAGTTCAACCTGGGGCCCCTTCCTGTCCTCAGGGCCCCAGCCCCAGGGGTCAACGACAGGAGGGGGTGGGTGCTGGCTCGGGAGGGGACACCGGGCTGGAATCGGCGATACGTCGCCGATCGATCAGTTTTGGGCCTCCGATAGCAAATCCGCACGTTCCTGGGCGTGGGGCCATCGGGTCCTACCGCCGCTAAGTGGGCGATCCGAGGTCGATGCATCACACATGAGCCATTCCCCCTGAACTGTCCCTAACCAGGGCCCCGCCCATCAGTGGAGAGAATGAAAACGGGGACCATGGCCAAGACTGAACGCGGAAGAGTCATGTCGATGTTGGTCACCGTCCGTCTTGGCCAACGTCAATCCGTGGATCATCCTCGCGAATCGGCGACGGCCGGCGTGGATCATGCCCAAGATCGGCGTCGACAAGATCCCCACGACACCTTGGCCATGGTCAATATACATCTTCCCTCGAGTTGCCCCTGACTAGGGCCTAGAGGCCTCTCAGACGGGATCAGAATAGATGGGGTCGGAATATCCCGCCGCATCGTCGATCGGCGATGCATCCGCGTAGCTGGCGTGGAGAAAATCGAACTGCACGTCGAGCCACACCGCCCATGCATCGGCGATGCGGCGCGATCCTCCGATCCCATCTGCTCGGACCCCAGCCGGGAGGCCCAGAGATCAGAGCCGCACCCCTCGGGACCCCACCCTGCAAACCACCGCGATGGCGTCCGTCTGCCCCATCTCCGCCGCCCGCCGGCAGAGCGCCACGGCGCGCTCGAGGTCGCCGCCGGCGCGCTCGCCCGCGCCGCTGCTCAGCCTCCGGGCCAGGGCGGCCATCGCGTCCGGGTCCCCGGCGGCGACAGCGGCGTCGTACCTTCACGAGCTCGACTTCTACGATTCGCGATAACGGCCGTTGCCAGGGATGCTGCCCCCTCTTCCCCCCCACCTGGTAACGTCACAGTTCGCGCCGACGCCGGTTGGGAATTGCGTGGGGTAGCATGTTCCCAGACCCCTCGCCCTCCCCTGGTAATGGCCGTTTTCGCCAGGGGGTGAGAAAAGAAACCAAAAACTGCAGGCCCACGGCCAGGACGCAGACCTCCAAAGCATTGAGGAAATCAAGACGGGCATGCTGTTCGTCGTCTGCAGCCTCCACAGGGGGGGCCCTCGCCGGGCCCGGGAACGGCCCAAAAAACGACTCGGGATGCCAAACCAACCCCGGAGAGCGGATCGGGTCTTCCGAGGGCCGCGTACCAAAAAAACAGCGGACCTCTCTGCGGACACATCCGAATCCACCGCGCTGGGGTCGTGGCTGGGCACCTCGGGGAGTGGTGGATCTGGATACCTGCCCGCCCCAGGAGGGCGAGAGGGCACACCCACGTCCGCCTCGCCCTGGGGCTCAGGGCACGACTCCGCAGCCGCGGATGTGGACGTACTGCGGCGGTGGATACCACGGCGTGTCGCCGGTGGCGCAGGAACGCGCGCAGTCCGTGACCCGGAAGACGAGGCCGTGCTGGCAGGGCTTGGGGCTGCGCGCGCGCAGCCCCCCGGGGGGGCGGCGGCCGCGGCGGCCGTCGACCCGTCGCCCGCACGGGCCGCCCGCGGCGGTGTCGGCACCCCCCGGCCTGGGGCCGCGGCCGCTGGAGGCGGCGCCAGGGTGTCGAGACCGCCGCGGGCTGCCATGATCGGGGGCTCGGTGAGGCCAGCTGGAATCGGCAGGCGGATGTCGAGGTCCGAACGGACCCGCTCGCCTCCCGCTCTCCGATCGGCTCTTACTCGGTCCGGTCAGGATGGGGGCAGCTCGTGCGCAAGCCCGAAGCCTTGCCAGAGCTGTACTGGCTCCCTGAGAAGATCCGTGCGCCGCTGGGGAGGTCGTACTGGTGCACCTGGGCATCAAGGAGAAAGATCCCGAAACGAGTCCTGCAACCCATGCCTTTCTCTGGGATGCCAACCCTTGCCCCAGGGCGACCCTGAGGGCCGAAAGCAACGAGAAAAAAGCGTCACGCATGTTTCCCTCAGGGCGGCCTCGTGTCATGGCTACTCAAAATGCGGCAGGGGCCCCGACTGGGGTCCATCATGACAAAATGTTCCCCGTTCACAGCCTCTTCCTTCAGATCCCCTGTCCAAATAATGAAGACCCCTTTCCTCAGGACCCCTTCTCTTCGTGGGCGGGCGTTGCAGGCGGCCAGGAGGTCTGAAATGGATGGACCTCAAGAAATACGGTCTGGAAGAAGAAATTATGGCAAACCCGCTCAGAATCTGTCCCTGGACCCCTCCCGAGGTCCTTCTTGTGCAGTTTATCACCCGAGAGCCGTTTCAGGCGGTCCAGGGGCCCGAAAGCGGACCCTGGACACAGAAAACACGCACACAACCTCGAGAACCAGGAACCTCCAACCTGCCCCCCCCCTCCTGCGGAACCAGTGCTGGGCCACCTCAGACCCTCAGCCGGCCCCAGGGCGGGAGACATGTCCATATCCGAGGACTCGCAGTTCGGTCTCCTCGGCCGCGGCCCAGCGGCGAAAGGGCGGCGCTGCGGGGATGCTCTGAGCGGAACGCATCCACAAGATTGCATATCCATGGGATCGCGGCTCGGTTTCCAGACAGCGAAATATGGTTACGGATATGTTCGATGACATCCACTGAAGATCGGTCCGTTGACCCCTCCTGGGGTGCTCCCGGTCATCCCTGGACGTCGTAACCGAGGAAAAACACAAATCCTCTATGTGCTGTTGGGGTCTGTTCGTCGCTCGTGCTTTCCTATCTTGGAAAAGCACAAGCGGGTGCGTAAAGGGGGCGGCCAGAAGGCCCCGAGGGGCTTTCGACGAGGCCTTCTCAAAGCCTGGATGGTTTCTGAGAGGCCCACTGCCTGCTTGGACGCCCGCCCAAGCTTCTCAGAAGGCCGCCAGCTTCGCGCCACCGCCTTGCGCGCACGGTCAAAGCATGATCCGAAGTCTCGGTGTGTTTCCATGCGGGGCCCTCGAAGTCCCGACCCTTCCCCCAGGGGTCGGCTTTTCATCCCGAGTCATTTGTGGATAATCCAAAGGCCCAGCGAGGACCCCCAGAGGGCGACGATTAGGAAAAACTCCACGTGCGCATCGCCAAGATTGGCACGCCTGGAATAGACACGAAAACAATGTGGCACGATGCACAGCAAACGTTGTCCCAAACCTACAGCGGTCGTTGCTGCATAGACGACCAGCTGCCTCGAACGGACAACGTCCGTGGCGACACCGACAGCGAGCCCTCCCCACAACAGACAGAACTGCTGTCGGTCTTCGTCCTCGTTTTTTCCGTCCGACGCTAAAGATTGCCTCCCCCCGTTCCCCGAAAGCCGCGCACCAGAAGGTCACTCTGGCCGAGGGTCAGTCGGCGTGCGGGTCATACCTCGGGTCTCCCGCTGCCATTCGGAACGACTGGGACAACCTGGAACGCTCTTGGCGAGGCGCAGCTGCTGGAGCGCACTCCGAAGGCGGACAACCTCCAGGAACCGACGAAAACGACCGAACACGTAGTTACCTCAATCCCCATCCTCTCCGTGCCCATCTCGATCGCGCCGCCGAGGTTTCTTCGCGCCGAGCACTGCCAAGTCGCCCCGGCCGAGCTCCACGAACTCCCGCCCCTCCGCGCCCGGGCGCGGCTGCACGTAGAGGCCTGCGCGCTCAGGGGGGGGTGGAGGGGGAGGGGGAGGGGGAGGGGGAGGGGGAGGAGGAGGAGGAGGAGGAGAGAGGAGGAGGGAGGAGGGAGGAGGAGGAGGAGGGGAGGAGGAGGGAGGGGGAGGGGGAGGTGGAGGAGGGGGGAGGAGGAGGAGGAGGAGGAGGAGGAGGAGGAGGAGGAGGAGGAGGAGGAGGAGGAGGAGGAGGAGGAGGAGGAGGAGGAGGAGGGGAGGAGGAGGAGGAGGAGAGGGAGAGGGCGAGAGAGAGAGAGAGAGCATCGAGGGGCACGGATGGGGGCCCCCTGCGCCAGACCGCGGCGCGCCACCGGCTTGGGGGTCGCCCACGTATGAGGTAAACAGAAGTTTAAACAAATGCCGCTGCGCCCTGACCAGGGGCCTCTCCCCAGGGTGCGCTCTGACCATCATCTGGCCGTGGCGACGAGGGACCCCCGGGACGCTCACCAGGGCCCAAACGAGGTATCCGTATCGGTGTGAGTACATCCCGGGGCCGATGGAAAGGGACAGGCCGCAAGGATACAAGTCTCTCCCGAAGGTGGCCCTGGCCCCAAGACATGAGTGGAACATGACGCCGCCACAGACAAGACTTCCCCCAAGACTGTGAAGACCAGGGCCTGCCTCCTCCCCTGGAAGGAGCAGCGGCCTCCCGTGAACTCGCCGACGTTCAGGCCCAGCTCGGCGGAGCAGAAGAAGCGGCTCTCGGCGCGCGCTGGGCGCGAGCGCCGCTCGTCCGGGAGGTACCGCCGCACCTTCGCCCCTGCCCTTGCCATCGCTCGGACGTCCGTTCCCCGTGCATTGACTGGCTTCGTGCGCGCTTATCAGGCTCGATGATCGGGTCGGGCGAAAGGGGGGGATGGCAAAGGGGGGGTTTCAGAATCAGCTCACGTAGCTGATTTTCCCGGCGCCTCCCGGCGCCGGAGGAGGCCATGTATCGAGGAATGGGCCCCTCGGTGAGGCCGAAACCACCTGCACGCAGCAAATTTCGTACCCCCCCCTTTCCCAATCCCCCCCTTTCGCCAGGCCCGAGGTGATTAAGGATGCTCTTCGATGGCCCTCGCCTAGGAAAATGCACACGCCCGAGCGATGCCCAGCCCCAGAAGGGAGGGCAGCGACGGCGAGGTCGGCCAGCGCTGGCCCCGGATGGCTGGCCGCCGGCGGGCCCCGGGGATGGCTCGGGCGCCGCGGCCGCTCCGGGACGAGAGGCTCTGGAGCGAGGTACACCTCCGTCCTGCCTGCTCAGGGGCCGAACAGCCATACAGGTCCTGCCCGACCCCCTCCTGCTCCTTCCCCCCTCCCCTGGCCGCTCCTGCCGTCCAGAGGGGGGGGGGGAGGAGCTGTCCTTTTGTCTCTTCGTTATGCTGTCGGGGCGCAGGCTTCCTCCTCTTCCTCTTCCTCCTCCTGCTCTTCCTCCTCCTCCTCCTCCTCCTCCTCCTCCTCCTCCTCCTCCTCCTCCTCCCCACCTCCTCCTCCTCCTCCCCACCTCCTCCCCACCTCCTCGCGCCGTGGCAAACGACGGAGAATGCGTGGCTATCTTCGTCCTCTGGAGGCCCTAATTGGGCCCCGTGAGCGTAAACGAGAAGGCCTCGGGATGACCACCTGGGCCCCGGGAAGGGGGGAGGAGGAGGAGGAGGAGGAGGAGGAGGAGGAGGAGGAGGAGGAAGAGAAGGAGGAGGGGAGAAGAGAAGAGAAGAAAAGGAGAGGGTATCTTGTCCCACTTCGTATCATCGCACCTGAACGGGGAAGCTGGGATTAGCCGTAATTCACTGACGCACCATCGCTGAAGCCGCCCGGGTTCGGAGTATGGGGTGGGTCCTCCGCCAGTCCGCCAACGACTCTTCGAGCCCTGCAGCCTGACGCAGGCAGGACATGCAGGGTGGTCGCTGGACGCCTGTCGGGATATGGTTTGCTGTGCTTTCCCCACCACCCGCAGCTCCCGTTGCTACTTCTCGCCTTCTCACACGTGCGTGTCTTGAGGAGGGACCAAGGGGGGAAGAGCAGGACAGGGAGGCGGAAGGTGGCTCGGCGGGAGGTCAAGATGTTGACTGGGGGCGGGCCAGCGCGCTGGGCCCACTCCCGTTGTTCCTGCCTCGGGTTGGCATTGTTTAGAGGAACTCGACGACGACGACGACGAGCAGCGCAAAAGGGAGCTGGTCGAGAATCATGGGAGAAACAGGGGGGGGAAGTACCAGGAAGGGGCGGGGGGGGGAGACAAGGAAAGGAGACAATGGGAAGCGGGGAAGCCCGGAGCGCACCGCCGCGTGCCTTCTGGGCACGGGACTCAAGGACTCAAAGCCTGCAACCCAAGCAGAGACTGCGTAGGGCTCCAGGGGGAGGTCGTGCTCGTTGCGGTCGGGCTTCGGGAGCGTGATGACAATCTGCATATCCGACGTGTCCCGAAGCTCGGCGAGTTTGGACGGCATGCCGGGGCTCGCGGAGGCCAGCTCCTTCAGGAAGACGTTGAAGCACGCAATGATGGTGGTCTTCACTGACGGATTCGCTTCGTGGCCGATGCGGATGGACCACAGCGTGGAGTTCGGCGAGGTCTCGATGCAGTCGCAAGACCGGTCAGACCACCCAAATGTGAAGCGTCAATGGTGCTGCGGCTGGGCGCGGGTTCCCGGACGAGGTTGGCAGCGTTGTTGGTGAGCTGAGGGAGGTGACGTTCAGCGGCTTCCGAGCTGCGCGGGCGGCAGCCGCACAGGTGCAACCGGCGATCCCGCTGCGGACGTCGCAGAGGTGCGGGGCTTCTTCCTGTCGGGGGGAAAGGCGGTGTCCATCGTTGCAGATCGCGTCTGCTGGGCCGAGCGCGCTGGGCCACGGGGCGGCGCAGTCGAGCGCGAGCAAGCCTGGGAGCGCTTCTGCTGGGATGGTTGAGCCGAGGGGACGTCTGAGCCACCTCGGTGCTCCCTGGAGACGCGCGCTGGCTGGAGCCGCCCGGATGCGCGCGGGGGCGCGCCCGGAGCGTGCCAGGGGCCCACCGAGGCCGATTTCGTACACTTGGAAACTGTCCCTTCCCGCACGCGCTGATGCCGACCATACAGGAGAGACGACGTCGGGCTCCAGCTTCGCCTTCAACATCTCACTGAGCACTGACAACGCGTGTTGCCATTGCCCGCCATTTCTGCATGCGTTGTCAGTCGCAACGAAGTGTCTTGGGAAGAGTTGCACGCCCGATCGAACTCCTTCGCTGAGAACCGCAGTGCAGCGCTCCATTGTGGTGTCAGGCCGCAGCTCTTGATCGACGCTTCGGGGGACGTAACGCCATCTTGAGGAAAAGCATGCCGAGACTGGCGAGCGCGTGCCTCTGCTATTGGACGCCCGAAATGGGCACCGAAAGAATGGGTACAATGCCCAACAGCAAATGTTGTCCCAAACCGACAGCGGCCGCTGTTGGGCGGGCGACCTCCTGTCTCGAATGGACACAGGCCGCGGCGGCGTGGACAGCGAGCCCTGTTCAAAAGGAACAGGAACTGCTGTTGGGCGTCGTACCCATTCTTTCGGTACCCATTTCGGGCGCCCAAATCTGCTGGACGTGTCCCTCACGCGCCCGAAGCCCGGCACGGGCCGGGTGTGCGTCCGTGCCCGCGGCTGCCGGCGGAGAGGGCGCGGCTCCGTCTGGTGGGGCGGCGCTCGCCCGCCGGGGCGCATGCGCCCGATCCTCCAGTCTCCAGCAGCAGGGGGGGGGGCGGCAGGAGGAGGAGGAGGAGGAGGAGGAGGAGGAGGAGGAGGAGGAGGAGGAGGAGGAGGAGGAGGAGGAGGAGGAGGAGGAGAGGAGGAGGAGGAGGAGGAGGAGGAGGAGGAGGAGGAGGAGGAGGAGGAGGAGGAGGAGGAGGAGGAGGAGGAGGAGGAGGAGGAGGAGGAGGAGGAGGCGGGGGAGGTGGAAGAATGAGGAGCAGCAGAGTAGGGGGTCAACTACAGAATTCATGTACTCCCAAGTTGGCTTCCCCGCCTGAGTTGCAAGAAAAGCGCGGAATGTTCGTTGATCGACGGGACATTGTACGTATCTTTTCGTAGAGTCGGCGGGAAACAAATTTTGGAGGAAATCAATTCTGTAGTCGGTCCCCTACTCGCAGTCCACGAGTGACAAGCAGAACCTACAAAGAAAACAGGTGGCAGGGAGGGCCCGGGGGCATCAAGCAGACGCAAGCGGTCCTCGCAACAGCAAGCTTCGCCCCAAAGCGTACCGGTTGCAGCTTGGATCGCGCCCCCTCCTGCAGGAAGCCCAGAGGCTTCGCAGCCTCATCGTTACGGGGCTGCCCAGGGCACGGACCAGAGGTCATACACCCTCCTCCTCGGCCTCCTCCTCCCCCTGCTCCTATGAAAGGGGTACAGAAGGAGCTCGACCACAAGAAACCTTCCACAAGAAGCCCAACCCCGAGACACCAGGACGGTCATTGATTTTGAGTGTGGGAACGTCACGCTTGCCATGGCAAAACCATCGAAACCTAAGCAGGGTTTTCTTGGCATGGGTCTATACTGTATGGCGACCCCAAATCCCCGGATTTGTGGTGTTCGACTGGACTGAACTCAGGGATATACGGCGGAGGGCGTCCATCCCCGGTAGTGGTGCGGACGACAAGCTCCCTGGAAGCGTATCCCGACATTCCCTTCTTTTCTAAACGGCCAGACTTTGGGGGAGCCTCGGGGATTGGGGCCGAGAAATCGCCTGACGAGGGCAAGATGAAGATAGATTCGGATGAAAATGCACCGGGAAGCTATGAGAGCTGGCGGGTCTGGAGCAGAGCGCTCCGAACTCTCATCCCAAGCCTGCCTGAAGAAGGCCGTCAACGTCGACAGCACATTACAGCCGAAAAGCCCGCCGAACCGACAATGAAACGAAACCGAGAGCCCGCAAGCAGCCCACAAGGGCGCAGCAGCGCAGCGGCGACAACGACAAACCGAGCCGAACCGACCGAACGCAACCGACTGTGACGCCGACGAACCGACCACGCACTCCCTTGCCCCACCCCCGCGCGCGCGCAGGGGGAAAGAAGAGCGAGCGAGAGAGCATACTGCAGATCCGCGCGGCACCGCCAAAAGCATGCGTCAAAATCGATCACTTGTAAGCCGGTGGCGCAGAGGGCCCTCAAGCGCAAGCCGCAGAAGGAAGTGCTGATTACAATCGAACATTATCGAAGGAACAGTGCACAAAGCGTTGCACACTGACGAGTGCAGCAGTGGGTGGTCTGAAAAAAGGAGCTGAAAATCCCAACAACAAAATCGGCCGCACGAACGCCCGATGGTGGCCGAGGTGGGCAGCACTCTGACTCGCGAGGCATCCGACAGTCGGCCGACACCCAGACCATCTTGGCCTGCTCTTCTTCGGTGCTCATTCTGGGGACCATCCTGGAGCGACTCGCTGCATTCCTGCTTCAAAGCTGCGTCGAACATCCGTCGACGCGGGTCGAACTCGAGTCGAACCTGAGTCGAACATGAGTCAAACCTGAGTCGAGAACCTGTGTCGAACTTGAGTCGAACTGGAGTCGAGCAAAGTCGAACTGGAGTCGAACAGATCCGTCAGGTGGGCTCCAGGAAGGTCCCCAACACGTGTATCTGACCAGACCATCTTGGCCTGCTCTTCGGCCAGCTGGATTTCAGGGGAAAAGGGAGGACGAACGGTACTCCGGATTCCATAATAAAGTGGGAGGGGTCACATTTTGGGGGGGGTCTGATTTGAGCTGTCTCGGAGGGCTCGGGGGGGTCTGGGCAAAGGGCCGCCCTTTCATGGATGGTCTGGGAGGGTCTAAAACTTCTCGTCTGGGAGGGTTGAGACCCCCTCCCTTTTATTACGAAATCTGGAGTACCTTGTACGCCGTCTCTCCCGCGTCCCTCCCGCTCTGGGCGCCCGGGGCGACTCCCAGGCCGCCCCCACCCCCCCCAGGTCTCTCGGCGAGTCGCGCCGGACGCACTACCCCCCACAGGGCACAACACGACGCGTTCGTATGTCCTGAGATCTCCTCCGTCCCTCGCTCGCCTACACGCAAGAGCGACCCCTGGGCAAGAGTGGCCCTTGGTGCGGGGGGGGGGGGGGGGGCAAACCCGAGTGGGCATGCTGCTGCTACGGTACAAGGAAACAATGTTGGCACGCGCGAGGAAGACTGCAGACGAAGTGTAACTCATTAAACCCGCCGCCAATTTTGATCACTGGGAGGGAAGGGGCACTGACAGATGAACGTGGCATGAGTGTTCGCTAATCCCACCAACCCTCTGGGCGAGAATGGTTTAGGGCGTTCCCCCTTCAATCTCCCCCTTATGGAAGGGGTTTGCCCTGGACCTGGATGGGGGCGGGGTCGCCGGTCGTTGGAGCATCCAAGAAGGCCTCGGCGAGAAGGCAAAAAACAGTGATGTTCATTAGGTTTTGCACAAATTTTTACCTCCTCAAGGAGGGGCGCAAATTAAGGACCCCCCTTTCTTTGATCGATCTCCTCCAAGAAAGCCCCAAGCTGGCCTCCAAGGCTCCCAAGGGCGCCCCAAGAGGGCCCTAAGAGGCGAACAGGAGGCAACAGGCCCCCAAAAGGTTCCCAACAGGCCCCCAAGAGGCCTCAAGAGACTCCTCCACGGGACAGCCAAGAGGCCTTCAAGACGACCCAAGAAACTCTCAAGCGACATCCGCAGAGACTCCGAGAGGCGTCCAAGAGGTAACTGGCCTTTTCTACTCGCACCCTTCTTCTTCGTCTTATTACTATTATTATTCACATTATTATTGTTATTGCTATTATTCTTAGTTCTCGTCTTCCTCTTCCTCCTCCTCCTCCTCCTCCCTATCCGCCTGCTCTTCCTACTCCTCCTCATCATCATCACCATGACCATCATCATCATCATCATCATCATCATCATCATCACCACCAGCACCACCACCACCACCACCACCACCACCATCATCATCATCATCATCATCATCATCATAATCATCATCATCATCATCATCATCACAATCACGATCATCATCATCATCATCATCATCATCATCACGATCATCATCATCATCATCATCACCATCACCATCACCGTCATCATCATCATCATCATCATCATCATCATCATGAACATCATCACCAGCATCATCATCATCATCATCATCATCATCGTCATCATCATCATCATCAGCATCAGCATCAGCGTCAGCATCATCATCACCAACACCATCACCACCACCATCATCATCATCATCATCATCATCATCATCATCATTAGCATCATCATCATCCATCATCCGCATCAGCATCAGCATCATAATCGTCATCATCACCATGACCATCATCATCACCAGCATCATCAGCAGCAGCACGCATCACCATCACCATCACCCACATCACCATCACCCACATCATCATCATCATCATCATCATTATCTTCATCATCATCATCATCATAATCATCATTATCAGCACCATCAGCATCAGTATCATCATCATGATCAGCATCGTCATCATCATCATCAGCAGCATGAGCATCAGCATCAGTATCAGCATCATTATTGACAGCAGCATCAGCATCATCAACGTCATCATGATCATCGACATCGTCGTCGTCAGCATCATCATTACCATCATCTGCATCATCATCATCATTATCATCATCATCGTCAGCATCATCGTCATCAACATCAGCATCATCATCATCAGCATCATCATCTGCTTCACCATCATCATCACCATCGTCATTGGCATCATCAGCCTCAGCATCAACAACATCACCACAACCATCATGATCAGCTTCATCATCAGCATCATCATCAACAGCATCGTCATCAACTGCATCAGCATCACCAACATCATCATCGTTATCATCATCATCATCACCATCATCATCAGCATCATCATCATCATCATCACCATCAGTATCAGCAGCAGCATCATCAGCATCAGCAGCATCAGCATCATCTTCATCATCAGCAGCAGCAGCATAAGCATCGTCACCATCATCATCGCCATAATCAGCATCATCGTCAGCATCACCATCGTCAGCATCATCAGCAGCATCATCAGCAGTATCTGCATCGGCATCAGCATCATATCATCCTTACCATCATCATCATACTCGGCAGCATCACCAATCTAATCATAACCATCAGAATCATCATCGTCCTCAGCAGCGTCGCCATCATCATGATCATCATCACCACCACCGCCACCTTCATCAGCATCATCATCATGAGCAGCATCATCATCAGCAGCAGCATTCATCATCATCATTCATCATCATCATCGTCATAATCAATATCATCACCATTCAGCATCATCATCATCCGCCTGTTCCTCCTCCCCCTCTCACCTCCATCCTCCCTCCCTCCTCCTCCTCATCATCCGCCGACTCCTCATCCATCCTCCCACTCTTGGGGTAAGACGGCTTCCCCAACCCCTTATTTCACTGCATGCTCCTCCACATCCCTGACCATGGCAACTCGCCGAGGCATCGTTTCTCGATTGGCTGGTGGGGTTACGCAAAGCGTCCAGGAATTCTTCAGAGGCCTGCGCTCACAGAACAATGAGCGGTCGGGGGGGTGGGGGGGGCAAAGAGGGCCCGCGCCAACGGTCACTCCAGCGGGTGGGTCACTCGTTCGTACACTAGATTTGCAACCCGTCCGCGCCAAGACTGTGCACACCGCTGCGTTGGGTGCGCCGAACCGCTCCCTGACGTAGGGCAGCAAGCGGTCCTCGGGGGAGACTGGGGCGCAGGGCGCCCATCCCTTGAGGGAAGGTTAAAAACACACACTGGAAATAAGCACCCTAAAAGCAAAGTCATTCAAAATCTGTGTCCCCACATGCTTCGTGGGGTGTTGGTGGTCGTCCTTCCCGCGCCCCACCCGCGAAGCTCACCTCGCCTCCCTCCTCCGCTCCTCTTATCCCTTCCTCCCTTCGCCCACACGCAAAACATGCACGGCACGTACATGAGACACGTGTCTACATACGGCCGCACGCATGCACACGCTCGCAGACACGCTCACCATACAATGATAGTGCACACATGGCGTGTTCAACGCATGCATCATACACCCAAGACGTGTGCACCACATGTTGGGCATCCACACGAGGGACACACGCCCACACACAATCGCACACGGACACCACACAACACATGCGCAAAATATTCGCAGGGCGCGGCAGGCGTTGCAGGCGTGCTGCATCGTACACCCAATAAGTATGCGCACGGCCGTCCAGGCACAGCACGCGTGGCATTTCTCGACACCAGAAAGGGGTGCGCAGGGGGTGGTCCCTGAGCGCGTCATCTATGCGGGCCAGGCGCAGGGCACGGCAGGCATGTCAGTTTCTCGCCACCAAAAGGGGCGCGCAGCGGGTGGTCCATGAGCGCGGCGTCGATGCGGGCCATTGCGCAGGGCACGGCAAGCGTCGCACTTTCTCGGCACCACAGGGGGTGCGCAGCGGGTGGTCCCTGATCGCGGCGTTACTGCGGGTCATGGCGCAGGGCACGGCAAGCGTGACATGTTCTACCCCCCAGAGGGGGCGCGCAGCGGGGGGTCCAGGATCGCGGCGCTTATGCGAGCCAGGCGCAGGGCACGGCATGAGTGGCAGCTTCTCGACACCAGAGGGGGGCGTAAGGGGTGGTCCCTGAACGAGGCGTGTCTACGCGGGCCATGGCGCAGAGCACGGCAGCCGTGGCAATTTCTCGCCACCACAGGGGGCGCGCAGCGGGAGGTCCTTGATCGCGGCGTCCATGTGGGCCATGCCGCAGAGCACGGCAAGCGTGGCAGTTTCTCGACACCAGAGGCGGTGCGCAGGGGGTGGTCCGTGAACGCGGCGCCTATGCGGGCCATGGCGCAGGGCACGGCAGGCGTGGCAGTTTCTCGACACCTGAAGGAGTGCGCAGGGGGTGGTCCCTGAGCGTGGCGCCTACGCGGGCCATGCCGCAGGGCACGAAAGCTTTCTCGACGCCAGAGGGGGTGCGCGGGGGGTGGTCCCTGAGCGCGGCGCCTATGCGGGCCATGCCGCAGGGCGCGGCAGGCGTGGTAATTTCTCAACACCAGAGGGGTGCGCGTGGTGGTCCCTAAGCGTGGCGCGTATGCGGGCCATGCCACAGGGCACAGCAGGCGCGCCTCTTTCTCGACGCGAGAGGGGTGCGCAGGGGGGGGGGGTCCCTGAGCGCGGCGTCTGTGCGGGCCATGGCGCAGGGCACGGAATCGCAGTGTCTCGACAACGGAGGGGGTGCGCAGGGGGTGGTCCCTGAGCGCGGCCTCCATGCAGGCCATTAGGCAGGGAATGGCCAGCGTGCAACTTCCTCCACAGCAGGACCGTAAACATGTTGGCTTGAGATGAACGCACAGCACGTCTTGGTTGCTGCGCCGCGCCGCCGGGAGCGCTGCGCGGGTGCGGCAGAGATTCCTCTTCAACGGGATGCCTCCCAAACGTGATGCCGCCGAGCTGCCGCCTCCGCGCTTGCAGTTGAAGAATGTTCTAGTTAAGAACGGCTTCGAGATCAGTCTGGCAGGTCTACGTCTGGTCCGAATGGGCCGACCACGGGAGCGCTCTGGCCAAAAGGCGCATTTAAAGGTCACCATTGCCAGCTTAAGTGCACGGGCGCCGGGGTCTTTCCGACAAAGGCAGCACTGTCTAGCCGCATCGAATTCGCGCGGCCCGTGCCGTTCCTTGACGATCTCGAAGCAGCCGTCCAGTTTCTGTCATCGTGGCAACCGCAGCCCAGAGATTTTCCATCGAAGGGCACTCACAGATTGCATGCAGGCGGATTATGTTTGCTATGCAAGTCCTTCGCGCGCACAGCTCAGGGACTCTTTGTCGAAGAGACGCGGGGACGGACGTGGAAATTGCATGCGAAAGAAAGAAATGTAGGCCGACTTAGATGAAAGGGAGGCACGGACGCGGGATAATGCAGCATGAGGGGAAGGAGAAAGGATCATTCGAGAGGTTCCGTCAACTTACTGCTTGTTGCCGCGGTGACCACCTCGACTCTTTCCCCTATGGAGGATGGAAGGCGGGGAATAAGGAGGTCAAATACGATAGGGAAAGATGGTGTGATGGATAACGATAGGGAAACATTTTCCGACGAGGGTGCAGAACGCAGGATTGCGCAAATATGTGGTAATGATAAGCTAGCACATAGGATGTGCCTTAAGTATGTGGGGTACCTCGGTAGCGTAAGTACTTGATTATTGTTCTTGGCAAACAAATACAAGGAAGAAATCGAACGGGCATAGCTGCCTAGCAAACGCCCAGGACTGCTCTCTGCACTTCACATAAGTCAGAAGGGGTCTGGGTGGGTTTTCCGACCTTGACCCTCCCTGCTCGCTGCGGCAGGCCTCGAGGGCCTCCGACGTCGTGACTGCTTCAACCCTGGCGCATGTCGCCAGTGTCGGCCTGCGGACAAACCAGAGCACCCGGGCACAAAAGAGGGAACACGTCCCTGGGGACGGGGTCGAAAGCTGCGGGTGCCCGTGTCGAAGAGAACACGTTGTTTGACCCGCGGCGAGCCGAATCTGGCAGGCGGTCGGCTAATGGCGGGAACGCGTCGGAGGTGAATTGCGCACACAGGAGCAGGAAAGCAGTAGCGAACGAGGGGACGGCCGCGGAACGGCTTGAGCGTCCTGGAGTCAGGCTCAAATGCTCACCTCTGTCAGCATGTGAGCAAATGAATTGCAAATCCAGGATAAGGACATGAGGCTTGCGAGCATGCGAATGCCACGTTGGAACCTGCGTCGAAGAGAACACGGCGTCGGAGGTCCACATGCGTCCGCCACACCCAGTACAGCGTTCCGTGGCTCCACAGGGAGCTCCACCCAAGGCCCCAGTGGGGTAGACCACATGCGTCCGCCACACCCAGTACAGCGTTTCGTGGCCCCATAGGGAGCTCCATCTAAGGCCCCAGTGGGGGTGGCCACATGCGCCCGCCACACCCAGTACAGCGCTTCGTGTCCCCAAAGGGAGCTCCACATAAGCCCCAGTGGGGGGGGCCATGTGCGCCCGCCATACCCACTACAGCGTTTCGTGGCCCTATAGGGAGCTCCAGCGGCACCCACAACGCGTTACTCACAACTGCATATGGTTGGGTCCTTCGCCAGAATAATTATACTTTTCTTGAATACTCCTCCTGTGGAGGGACATGCCCTACTGAAATCTACCATCGCACCTTCGCGTCGGCACCTGTGGTTCACATCGTCGTCTCCACTACCTCAGCCGTCATCGTGTCGTGGTCCATCGGTTGTCGTCGTCGCCGCCGCTGCCGTCCGCCCAAGGCAAGCCCGCGGAGTCCTCGATGATGGGACGGAGTATCGGCTCCAACACTGCGTGCACGTACTGGCCAGCCTGCACCACGCAGCACTCGTACCTCGCGATACAGAAGACGGGCGGGGGGGGAGGCCGAGCAGAGCCAGAGAAGACTCTTGGACCCCTTCAGAAGAAGGGTAGGAGGAAGGGGGAGGAGGGGAAGAAGGAGGCGGGACCAGAGGGAGCAACAGCAGACGAATACGAGGACGAGGAAGAAAGAAGGGGGAGGGCAGGGCCTGCAGGGGGCCAGCAAAGAAGAATAATGGGGGGGAGAAGGACGGGGACGGAAGAAGGCTGGGAAAATCGGAGGACGACGACGACAAGGATGACGACGACGACTTCGAAGACGACGACGACGACGACGACGACGACGACGACGACGACGACGACGACGGCGACGACGACGACGACGACGACGCGAACGCTCCGGCGCCGCCGCTAGGGCTGAGCGGGCACGTCGGCCAGCCGTCCACGGCATCGCCGTCGGTGCCGAACGGCAGCGAGGTCTGGGCTTCGCGGAGAATGCCCGCGACCTCTGGGGGGCGGCTGGGAGGAAGGGGGGATTACTGGGAGGGGCTAGCGAATCAGCTCACGTAGCTGGTTTCCCAGGCGCCCACTGGCGCCAGAGGCGCCCATGTATCGAGGAAAGCGCCTGGCGGTGGGGCCGAAACAGGCTGCATGCAGCAGATTCTGTAGCTCCCCTTTTTCCCTCCTCCCTTTCGTCCAATCCGAGAGGGGCGGCTGAGGAGGATTACGCCAGCGACGACGTCTTCGTCGCCTTCGTTTCAGGGGTGCTCGGCTCAGGGGAAGCATTGACGTGCAATCGGCGAGGCATCGCCGATAGATCGGGGATAGGCCCTCGATAGCGAAACCGGACGATGCTGGTCGGGAAAGGCAGCCCAGGCCACGGTTCGCGATGAATGGGCGGTTGGAGGTCATGCTTCCACTCCTGGGCTGGTCCCCCCCTGGAGTTGCCCCCTGAAACGACGACGTCGACGCCTTCGTTGCAGGAGCGCGCGGCTGCTTCTGAGCGATCTCATGATCAAGGCCAGACGCGGCTCGACACACTGGCGACGGGCGGCCGTTTCCTGAGTCGGCCGCTGGAGCCCCGTTTCGGGCCCCGGGTTCCATAGAAAATGGCCCCGCCAGGAAGCACTGGCCATGGGAAAGAAACTAGAGACGAGGCCCACGCCAGTACAACTTGGCCACCATGCCTTCAGCACGTACACCAGACTCATTTCTAGACTTCTCATTTCAGTAATGCCCACTTTCGTTCTGAGGTCCGCAAGGGCCGCAAATGCACGCACATGCCGCACAGTCGCATGCCCATGCCCATGCAACCTTGCGAAAGTCTCAACAACATGGCCACACATGTGCGCAAATGCCGCACAGTCCGATGCACAGTCGGATGCACAGGCTGGACAACCTCGGAAAGTACAAACACACATGCCCGCACATGCCGCAGAGTCGAAGATTCAAATGGGTGACAGAGATTCAAGCAAGGAGGAAAAATGATCCTGGCGAAGAACCCAACCAAATGTAGTTGTGAATAACGCGTTGTGGGTGCCGCGTTTGGTGGGCCACGCAACCCTGATGGGGCGTACCGTAATGGGTGGGGGGACGCATGCGTGCGGTCCCTCTGGGGCCTTCGGTGGAGCTCCCCATGGGGCCACGACGAGCTGTAGTGGGTTGTGGAGACGCGTGCGGGCGGTGCCACTGGGGCCTTCGATGGAGCCCCTATATGGGGCCACGAAACGCTGTACTGGGTGGGGGAGACGCATGCGGGCGGTCCCACTGGGACCTTCGCTGGAGCTCCCTATGGGACCACAAAGCGCTGTACTGGGTGGCGGCGACGCAGCGGTGCCACTGGGGCCTTCGGTGGAGCTCCCTATGGGGTCGCGAAGCGTTGTACTGGGTGGGGGGACGCATGCAGGCGGTCCCACTGGGACCTTCGCTGGAGCTCCTTGAGGGTCACGAAACGCCGTACTGGGTGTGGCGGACGCATGTGGGCGGTCAACCTGGGGCCTTATGTGAAGTCCCCCATGGGGCCACGAAACGGTGTATTGGTTGTGGCGGGCGCACGCGGGCGGTCCCTCTGGGACCTTCGCTGGAGCTCCATATGGGGCCACGAAACGCTGTACTTGGTGCGGCGGACGCATGCGGGCACCCACACTGGGGCCTGTGGTGGAGCTCCCTATGGGGCCACGAAACGCTGTACTGGGTGTGGCATGCGGGCACCCCCACTGGGGCCTCCGGCGGAACTCCTCATCGGGCCACGAAACGCTGTACTGGGTGTGGCGGACGCATGCGGGCACCCCCACTGGGGTCTTCGGTGGATTTCCTGATGGGGCCACGAAGCGCTGTACTGGGTGTGGCGGACGCACTGGCAAGCCCCAGGGAACTCTTGCGAAGGCCACGAAGCACTGCAGACTCTTCAACGGGCCCAAAGCAACTCCGACGGCATGTGCAGGCATGTGCGTCGGCATGTGCGAGCATGTGCGGGCGCGCGTTTAAATGCATGTGGGTGCATGTGCGGGCACGCGCGGTCATCCGCTGGAGAATTGCACAGGCATGCGCGTGCATGGGCGGCTAAAAGATCTGCAGTCATCGCACACCCTCCGCATGTGCAGGCATGTGCGGGCAAGTGCACAGACATGTGCGGGCACGTGCAGACATATCATGCACCAAACACAGCGCACATGACCCTGCACTTGCCCGGGCGCGCATGCAAAATGGGACATCCAACCCAGAAAGCCCGCGCGTGCTGGGCCCGCACGTGCTGGGCACATGCCGAGCACATGCCGCGCACGTGCACGCACATGGCAGCGCAAAAGCGGCCGCACATACATCCCCACAAAGGTATAGAACTGAGTGGGGTGTAGGCTTAATGGGTGCATGAGTTCTGAAGCACAAGACCCACAAATGCACGAGAAAGTATCAAGCGCCTGCAGGTTTTTGTGTTTGAGCATGATGAACTGCTCAACAGGTTGGCCTCGGAGGGTGCGCTGGACCAGGCACCCATGACCTCCCCGATCCAAAACCCAAGACACCCGAAACGAATTCCTGGGGTGCATCATGGCGGTGCGCGCCGATGATTCCATCCTCGCAGGAGAGCACGAAAGCGAAAACCTCACGAACGCTGGGAAGGCGAGAGGTGGGCACTACCAGTGGGGTATATGGTCGCTTGAACAATCGGGATTCAGTGGCATCCGAGCTCGACTCGACTGGACCTTGAGGATCGCACCAGCAGGCCCACCAGCAGAAGGACAGTAGACACGGCGGAAGAGGAGCTACCGAGAAGCTGACTGCGAGAACTCGCAGCTACGAGGAATGCTGGGACAACAGGATGGAGGGTTCAACGGACATCGCCTCAATACGCGGTCGACAGTTGGAGCTGCCTGAAAGAAGGCAGGAGGAGGGGCAGGAGCAGGAGGAGGAGCAGGAGCAGGAGCAGCCAGGAGCAGGAGGAGGAGGAGGAGGAGGAGAGAAGGGAGAGGGAGGAGGAGGAGGAGGAGGAGGAGGAGGAGGAGGAGGAGGAGGAGGAGGAGGAGGAGGAGGAGGAGGGGGCGGCGGTTCCTGCCATTCGGGCCTGATATCGTGCCTGAATTCGGTCGGCCAGAGCTTGCATTCTAGGGGTGTGGATTGAACCGCCTGATCTTGGAGGCCTCTTCGGCTGTCTTGGGGCCCTCTGGCCGGTCACCAGAAAAAATACGGCGCACTGGTCTAACCCGTCGCCTGTCCTGCCCCGCCGCCCCGGCCAAAAGCCAGAGGGAGGGGGGGGTCCGTCAGCGTGGCAGTGCGGGCCGCCGCAACTCTTATTCGGACCACAAGGCGGGCCGACAAAGAAAAGCGGGCCAAGAAAGGAACAGGAACGGGCCGGAGAGCGAGGAGCCGAGGAGCGAGAGGGGGAGAGGGAGGGGGGGCGACCGGACAGTGCAGACCGGGCCGACGGACGGAGGGACGGGGGGACGGGGAGGGGGAGCCAAGCAGGAGGACGAGGGAGGAGGGACGGGGGGACGGGGGGACGGGGAGGAGGGAGGAGGACGAGAAGGAGGAGGGAGAGGAAGGAGGAGAAGGAGCGAGTGAGTGAGGCAAAGACTAAGTCTTGTCATGAGGAGGAGAAGGGGAGGAGGGGAGGGGAGAGGGAAAGAGGAGGAGGAGGGAGAGGAGGAGGGAGGGAGGAGGAGGAGGAGGGAGGAGGAGGAGGAGGAGGAGGAGGAGGAGGAGGAGGAGAGGAGGAGGAGGAGGAGGAGGAGGAGGAGGAGGAGGAGGAGGAGGAGGAGGAGGGGGGGGCGGCGGGAGCGCACCCGCACACGGGAGGGGGGGGGGAGGGGGGGGGAGGAACGGCAAGGCTGGCTCTCCGAGGCGGCCAGCGGCGGCACCCCAGATCCATCCCCGCCCAGGGCTGCCGAACCCCATCGGCGGCCCAGACCAGGCCCCGCGCGAATCTGGGGATCCACCAGACGCACAGCCAGCGAGGCGGGCCCTGGCTTCCAGCTCCGCCCAGCCCAGTCCCAGCCCGCCCGACACCACCCGACCCAGAGGGGGCTCAGGAGGCCAGGAGGGCTGTTGGCTGGCTTGCCCAGCCCAGTCCCAGCCCGCACGCCGAACCCACACCGCCGAGGGGGCGCGACGCGCGCGCAACCGCCTGGGCCGTCAATGTCATGCTAAGTAGGCGCGGTTGGCCAGCCCGCTGTACTGTCACCCCACCTGCGTGGAGCGCGGCTTCAGGCCCTACGACCAGGTGCAGGGAACGGAGGCCTCCCCGCCAGAGCTCCGGGACGCCGTCCGCTGCTATACTGCGACCGCCCCGGCCCACCTGGGCAGAGTACGTCATCGACCACGGCAGGGCAAACGCGCGAATGCAGACCTTGACGCTGCCCGCCAGGCCGCCCTGCTAGGCGTACCCTTGCCGGAGGACGACGGGGCGCTCTGCCCCGTACCGGAGAACCCCCCAGCAGCGCGCTGGCCCAGCCCGCAAACCTAGGATGGTGGGACAATGTGGATTACGACGCCCTGGAGCATTACGCTCCCCGCGATCCTCTTGGCGCCGGCGAACGTGAGCGCAGTTCTGGCACAGCTCCGCGGGCGCGTGGCCGAGCAGCTCCTGGCTGCGCGGGCGGCCGGCGGCGCTGCCACCCGGGCCCGGGCGAAGAAGGCGTTCACGCTTTTCGACAGAGTGATGCTCGTCAGGCCCGGGAAGACTCGCGGGGTGCGGCTTAACCGAGATCCCGACGCAACGCATACGGATGCCCGTGAAGGGGGACTGGGGCGAGCTCTGGCGCGAGTCCACGGCTACCACGAGCCACGGGCCGAGAAGAGGAGGCAGCGCCCCAACGGCCAAGCAGGGCGCGCGCGCGGTGGAGTCGCTGCTGGAGGAGCACCTCATCAGCAAGGCGATGCAGCTGGCCCTCCGCCCAAGCGCGCTGGCCGCCGGGCCTGGCGTCCACGCTGCCAGAGCAGCACCTCCGTCAAGCGCCCGCCGCGCCCGACGACACTCGCGAAGCGCTGGCTGGGGCCGTGGCCAACAGCCTGGCGAAGAGCCAGCGCCGCTCCGGACCAGGGCCAACCGGCAGCAGGTTTGAGCACTGGTGCACGCTGCTGGCTGACACCCCCGCTCTGGGGTGGCCGGGGTCACGGTCGCCTTCCTGCTCGGCGAGCTCAGCCCGGAGGCCACGCGCGCGAACCCGGGTGCCTCCCTCCCTCCCTCCCTCCTCCCTCCTCCCTCCTCCTCCCTCCTCCCTCCTCCTCCCTCCTCCTCCCTCCTCCTCCCTCCTCCTGCCTCCTCCTCCCTCCTCCTCCTCCTCCGATCGATCGCCTGCGGCTGTGTTCCGCCGCCTCGCTGCGCGGGCAGCTTGCGATGCCTCCGCAGGACTCCAGCGGCCCCAACTCCTCATTTGCAGGGTTGCCGACGTCCGTGCTTTCGGTTGCAGCGAGGCCCTTCGAAAGAGATGCGCACGCTCTGGCGCTCCGCAGCAGTCTCGGCAGGCCTGCTCGGCCCCTCGTAGACCCCCTCGAGGGCGGCCGCGCCCGGCGGCGGCGACGGCGCGCGGGCTCGGGCCCCGAGCCTCGGGCCGCCGCCGAAGCTCCGAAACTCGCAGGCCACGTGGCACCCACGTGCCCCCTGGGGCTCGTGCCCGGACTCTCCGGGCCGCCTGGGAGGAGGAGTCCCTGCTCATCAGGAGAGGAGCAGGAGGAGGAGGAGGAGGAGGAGGAGGACGAGGAGGAGGAGGAGGAGGAGGAGGAGGAGGAGGAGGAGCAGGAGGAGCAGGAGCAGCAGGAGGAGGAGCAGGAGGAGGAGCAAGAGGAGGAGGCTTCACCGACGTGAACGGAAGGCTGGGAGGTATACCTACGGAATGGGTCGGCAAAGCAGGGCTCGCTCACGAGGAGGACGAGAACGGTAGGCAGCTCCACGAGGTAGCGGCCGAAGGCAAGGACGGCGTGGTCAACACCATCGTCTCTAGAGGCAACACACACCATACATGGCGAGACGCAAAGGGGAACAAGCACCGCATGGACTACATCCTAGCCAACGGAGAACTACGAAAGAACCTGACGGACAGCTGCACAATCAACGACATCGACCTGGCCAAGAAGCAAAAGAAGACCAGCACGCAAAGGGAAGATCACATGGCAGTCTCGGCAACTTTCGCCTGGAGGATCCACAGCCAAGCACCGAAAATATTGCTCCCGAAGATAGACCGCGCAAAGTTGAACGACCCAGAGGCTATCAGGACCTTCAAGTAGCACCTTGACTCGACCACGACACCTCACAGGAGCACCAGCCAGGACGAACACGCAAACCACTACATGCTCAGTCATGGAGGCAGCACGGGCAGCATTCCCGAAAGAAGCCACCAATAAGTACCAGGAGTACATCAGCCTTCGCACACTCGCTTTCGTCCTCGATCGACGTCGAATCGCAAAGCTCCTCAGGAAGGCGAACCAGCACGGGAGCAAGGCACCACCAGTATTACGACGGATACGAAAGGAAGCCACTCACGACCCTCAACCCCACCAAGGGCCTACCAATCTACATGATCAATGACGTGCACGAGCCGCTCATCAGGCTCAATTTCTCAGCTGCAGACCTTGGAAACTGCAGCAGCGAGGCTGATTCCTTGTACGCGGCAAATGCGTGGTATTTCGCAACCAGGAAGACTGCATCTGCGATGGTCAACTACGACTACGACCAATTCCTAAAAAAACAGGCAGGGAAGGCCAAGCAAGCGCGAGTCAAACACGAAGCACTACCCGAATGGAAAAACATAAAACTGTTACTGATCGGAGAATGGCGGAGACGGAAGTGCAAAACATACCCCGTAATGACGGATACTAGCGGCGAGGCACTCGCCAGCGAGAAAGAAAAAAACACGGCGGCGACCATATACTTCGGCAGAATATAGGCGGCAAGGTTCATGTCGGACACAAACGTCGTCGACTATCACCATGCTACGGCGGACGTTGCGGGCAAAAGCATGCAGCGCAGCATGCTTAACTTCGCCAGTCCCCACGAGCTCGAGGACATGCTGGCAAGAACCAAGGTAGACCGCGCTTCTGGCCCAGACGACGTATCCGACGACCTTGCAATGATCGCACCGAAAGAAATGGCAAGACACAAACACCCTGTGATCACAAACACCCTGTGCATAATAGATTTGGCCCTCTTACCACCACCCCATTTTCGCGACTGCGTGATGGAGGACTTGGACGCCCGAGTTATCCGGGGTAACTCGGGTCCGGGATAACTCGGGTTCGGATTCCCGAAAAACGAACCCGAGTTAACCCTGACCCGAGTTACCCCTGATGATTCGGGGCTCTGAGAGGACGTCTTCCACCACGGGGGTGGTGGCAGGGGGGGCTACATGACCCTTGTCTCGGGCCGACGCCATGCTGCGGCCTGCGGGCCCCCGCCGCTCCTCCTCTCCGAGGCCCTCCGAGGTTCCTCTGTCTTCCCTTCCTGGCGGGGGTCTGGAGGTCCTGAGGCTGTTTCCTGAGGCCCTCCGAGGTTCCTCTGTCCTCCCTTCCTGGCGGGGGTCTCGAGGTCCTGAGGCTGTCTCCCGAGGCTCCCCACCCCCCATTCCGAGGCCGCTCCACTCTGAGGCCGTGGGGCGGGGCAGCAGCCGTTGCGCCGCGCCGCGCGGGCGCGGCGCGGGCTCCGCGGACAGACCGCCGTGGCCCGCAGTGCGTAGGAGGAGGAGGAGGAGGAGGAGGAGGAGGAGGAGGAGGAGGAGGAGGAGGAGGAGGAGGAGGAGGAGGAGGAGGAGGAGGAGGAGGAGCTCGGACTTCGGGCTCCGGGCTCCGGGCCTCGGACTCCATTGGGCCTCGGGCCTCGGGCCCTCGGGCCCTCGGGCGGCTGCGCGGCAAGCGGCGGCAGCCGGCGGGCGGCGGCCGGGCGGCCTCGGCCTCGGCGGCGAGGCCCCGGAGGCGGCGGAGCCTGCGGAGGCCGCCGCCGGCCCCGCCGGGCTTGGGGAAGAGCGCCTGCGCTTCGGTGCCGCGCCAGCGGCCGCGGCCTGCGGTCCGAGCCGCTGAGGGCATCGTCGACGGCGTCGCCGATCGTGGTCGATCGTCGTCGGTCGTCGCCGGCGACGACGTCGTCGTCGACGTCGTGAGACTGGAGAGAAATGTATCATCACTTCACGTCGCCGTCGCCGTCGCCGTCGCCTTCGTCAACGTCGTCGTCGATCGATGGGAAAGACTGGAGAGACCTACGCGGGGCTAGGCCGAGGCGCCGGCATTCGTCGAGAGGGGCAAGCCATATCCTGGGTCGAGAATCGAGGGTCGAGGCTAGGGGGCGAAAGTTGTTGAAAACTTTGGGGCATCTGATGGGCGTCCAGAGGACCCCAAGGATTGGCAGCGCGCAAGAGTCAGCGTCGCCGCCGTCGTCCGAAAGGCCCCCAGCTTCTCAGAAGGCCGCTCTCAAGGAGGCTCGAGGCAGGCGGCTTCTACGAAGGCAGTCGGGGCTTGTAAGACGCCCCACTTTTAGGCCCCCGAGCCCTTCTGTCAGCTTCTCAGAAGGCCGCCCTCGAGGAGGCTCGAGGCAGGCGGCCTTCTACGAGGGCAGGGGAAGGGGCTTGTGAGACGCCCCACTCTGGAAGCCCCCGAGCCTTTCTGAGCAGCCCCCTGCCTTCTCTCGGAAAAGGCCGCCACCCTCGCCATGGCCCCCGCCTGCGCGCCGCCGACAACAGACCTCCAAGAGGGCCCACGGAGAGGGCCCCCAGGGGGCCCGGCCTCTGGTTCACGACCCGAGCATGGCGGCTGCATGAGCCGACGGTCACGAGCAGTTCCGCCGACCCCCCCCGTCCTCGGTCGATCGACGGAGTGCCCAGCGCGCTGCGCTTGCAGTGCGCTGGTGCCACCCTGCCGAAGGCTTCCCCCGGGGCTGGCCCTTGTCGCGGTGGCCCTGGGGCCCAGGAACGGCCCAGGAGGGGGCCCGAGGGCGGTGAAAAACCTCTCGGCCCCGCTCCCTCGGGCCCCGTCCTCTTCGCGACGGCCGGCCTTCTCTCCTCGAATTTGCGCGATTCGACCCTCCCCTCGCCCCCTGAGTGGGAGCGAAAGAGGGGGGCTGGCTAAGGAGGGGGGGGAATCGTCCTGGAGTCGGAGAGACATCCCCGATAGATAGATCGGCGATAGGCCCCCGATAGCAAAACCGCACACTCCTGAGCGGAGTGGGCCATCAGGCCCCCATCGGCGGTGAGTGGGCGATGCGGGGTCGACACATTCCCCCCCGAGGACATTCCCCCCGGCGTTGCCACGAACTTCCGCCCATCCCCTGGGCGGCGCGCGCTGCAGGGGGGGCGCGAGGGGAGCAGCCGCCGCGGGGGGGGGAGGGAGCTTCCGAGAAGCCAGGGGGGATCGTCAGAAGTCCTCCCGGCCTCTGAGGAACCCCATCAGAAGCCCGCGGGCGCTTCTGAGAAGCCCCCCTGGCCGCCCGAGAAGCCTCCCCCCCGCCTTCCTGGGAGGCCGCCCCCAAATCGCGCCTCCCACTGGGCCGCGCTGCCGACCGCCTCCTTCGACGAGGGGGGGGGGCCGCCTGCGCCCACCTCGAGGGGCTCCTCCGCGCCGAACCGCACCGCCCGCGGGGCCCCCTCCGCGCCGCCGCACGCAGCGCCGCCAGGGGCGTCTGGCTCTGGCCTCTTCGGGAGGCCGGCGACGTCGACGACGGCGGCGGCGACGACGGGCGGCGGCGACGTTCCCAGACCTCCGACGCGTGGCAAAGTTGGCCTACCGGGGGCCCTCGCTGCCCCCCCCCGTGACCTTCCTAAAACTGACTACCTACCAGACCACCCCAACCCAACCCGAAGACCCGAATTTGACCCGAATTTCGGGTTGGGGGGGGTACGGATTCCATGTGTTTTTGTTCAACGTTCCCCGACCCCCCTCCCACTGGAAATGGAAGGCAAATTGAGGGCTTCGGGTTGGGTTGGGGTGGTTTGGTGGGCGGTGAAAAACGACTCGGGATGCAAAGGTGGCCCTGGGGAGAGGGTCAGGACTGCTGGGGGCCCCGCATCGGACAAAAAAAACGGCGTGGTCGGTGTCGTCGTCGACGGTGCCGCCGACAACGACGGCGGCGGCGGCAACGAGGCCAGCACCAGCGGCATGACGATGACGACGACGACGACGACGACGACGACGACGACGACGAAGACCAAGGCCAAGGCCAAGGCCAAGGCCAAGGCCAAGGCCAAGGCCAAGGCCAAGACCAAGACCAAGACGAAGACGAAGACGATGATAACGACGACGGCGACCTCAGCGAGGCCCCCTGGCGCCGCGAATTTCCAGGCGTTTTCTCGCCTGGTCTCGGGCCCAAGGGCCCTCACATGATGGATCCTCCTCGAGAGATGCCACAGAAAGTTGGGGTCTACGGCTTCAGCTGTAATTTCTCAAGGTGTCTCAACTCTTATGCGCGTCGCCTGAAACCAAAAAGAAGGCCCCGAGACCCCCCAAGAGGGCCCCACGAGGGCACCAAGAAATCCCCAAGAGACCGCAAAAGTGGCCAAAGAGCGCGGGCCAGTGGGTGTCAGTTAAACTAGAATGTCACCAGCCCTTTAAGGCGTCAGTCATTTAGGAAGTTCGCTCTCCCAACACCAGAATTCCCCTTCGGGGTGGGGTTGATCACTGCCCCTCGTGAATAATAAACACCCCCTCCCCCATTCGACCGCAAGGTCCCGGCAAGGTCCCGGCAAGGTCCCGGCAGACTCCCGGCCAGGTCCCGGCAGACTCCCGGCAGACTCCCGGCAAGGTCCCTTTTCGGAGCCCAGGAGGGCTCCAAACGGTCCAAGAGAGGCCCGAGAAGCCCTCCTGACGGTCCAAGAGAGCCGGGAGACGCCGAAATATCACTCCCAAACGCCTACGATGGCCTCAAGACGGCCCAACAGGCCTTCAAGACGCCCCAAGAGGTCCCTAAGCGGCGCCCCAAGAGGGCTCCCACAAGCAAAAATCGTCCCATTCCCTTAGGAAAACGTGCATTTTTAACATATCCGCCTCTTCGTCTTTCACACCTTTCAAGGCGGTCCAAGAGGCCCCCAAGATCACCCCAAGACGGCCCGAGAGACCCTCAAGACCGCTCAAAGACGGCCCAAGAGCGCTCCAAGAAGGCCCAAGAAACCCTCAAGAACTCTTTTTCGGAGCCCAGGAGGGCTCCAAATCGGTCCAAGAGGGGCCCGAGAAGCCCTCCAGACGGTCCAAGAGAGCCGGGAGACGCCGAAATATCACTCCCAAACGCCTACGATGGCCTCAAGACGGCCCAACAGGCCTTCAAGACGCCCCAAGAGGTCCCTAAGAGGTCCCTAAGCGGCGTCCCAAGAGGGCTCCCACTAGCAAAAATCGTCCCATTCCCTTAGGAAAACGTGCATTTTT